CTCCCCAGCACCCTGCTATGGATGACACAAGAACAGTTATGCAGATAAGAGAGGGAAGAGTTGAGACTTTATGTTGCTTTTTCCTACTGTGAGGAAAGAGTGTATGTGTATTATATCTTCTTCCTGCAACACTTAGGAGAAAAGACCCTACATTTGAGGCTGTAAACATGATTAGAAAACACAGAAACATTTCTCGTCCATTGTTACTTAAGCATGTTATTACTTCCATTTCCTTAATGGATCCTTAGTTCAAATTCATAAAAATCTTAAGTAAATGTCTGACAATAGATATGAAAGATTTAGAGCAACATGTTGTTAGACACCAGATCAATAACCAGGTCGGAACCACCTTGAGTGGCTCTGGGGCTGGGGTGTTACACCTGTACACATATTTTACATGTACCTTATTATTGTTACTACTGCAGAGAGTAATAATGTAACATATTATCACTACCCCCAGATAATTTTAAAAAAACCAAGGATGCTTGAAATGTATCTTACTTCAGAATCTTCATTGGTATCTAAATGTTGCAAAAGGAACACCACAAGCAACATTTAGGTGAAGAGTTACTCTGCACAGCTCAGAAGTGAAGGGCTAGCAGGACGTGTTGTCTGGTAAGGTATCCGCAGATACAGGCACAGGCAACTGCCACAGGTGATATAGGTAAGGAGATTGTTCCCACTCTCACAGAGTAACCGTGGTTCCTAACATCCATGAGTTTCTGCACAGTAACCTAAGTACTCTTCATGGAACACAGCAAGTAAGCAAGCACATTTTAAAGGAAAAAAAATCATAAATACACAAAGATAAATTTTGTGGTAAATGTATGGAAAGCATCACCAAGTTTGACAAGTTATTTGACTAGCTATATCTTTTAGAAGTGCTGTCAGTCTTAAGCAGTGTTATTATAGAAAATCACACTTCTGCCCCCTATTTTCAAAAAATAATTGAAAGGGAGTAATATAACTTTCATTGTTACTCAAATATTTTTTTCTCCATTTGCACTGCTCTAGAGATCTCAACAAATAGAGTGACAGGTTCAGGAGCTCTCTAAAGCTGTGACTTGTATAGCTCTGGACCTCTATGAGAGTTATGATTCTGTCTGAGGGCTCAAACCTTAGCAGAAAAGTGCACTTTTTTGCACAGTTCAGGTATCACCAGAGATTTTTATGAATGGGAAAGGGTCAAGAAGTAGCAGAAATACCTGTCAGAAGCAGCAAGCTAAAAATAAGAAAAAACCCACAACTTCACAAAAAATGAGAAAATTGGTGAAGTAAAATAAAATCTGAGGATGAATTTATGGTACATAGTACAAAAGTGGGTTTCAAACATCAGATTTTTTTTTTTTTTTTTTTTTTTTTTTTTTTTTTTTTTTTTTTTTTTTTTTTTTTTTTTTTTTTTTTTTTTTAAGCTCTTGCCAGCCTAATGTTCTCCACTCAAAAACAGGAAGAGGTATATATGATATGTGAAGACAGCATGGAAAACCAAGCTTCTTTCTCAAGGTGAGCAATTAATGTGCATTTCTAAGAGTGGTAAAAATACAGAAGTAGATATTTTTCCATATATATTTAAACTATGCAAACACTGATTAAACAGAGGGGAAAAGTTGGGTCCAGGTAATTCAGTAGAATGCACAATGCAAAAGGTATTCCTAAGGGAAGACTGGGAGGGGAGAGATGTGATTACTTATCCTTTTCCAGCTTGGATACAACATTTAATGAATGGCCATCTTTTAATCTTTATTTTGTAGATATAACTCACGTCTGTGCTACATCTGCTCCATTGGTCTTAAATGGCATGTCTAAGAACTGAAGGTTGTGGAGTCCTTTTGGAGATCCAGACATAAACTTGGCAGATTCCTGACCATATGTCACAAATAGACTGGAGCACAACCCAACATTTTTTGCTTACTTGGTAGAAATCCCAACAGAAAGTATTGCTACGGCTGTGACTTTCTCTCTGTACAGTTTTTATTGCCAGTGTAAAAACACTGTTCTGTAATAATGGGTATTCATATTGTATGACCTGGAGCCATGACTTGAATTTATACTATTTAAAAATACAACCACTCAGTCTTCCAATCCTCCAGTATATTTAGTTTGCTGGGGGGGGGGAGGTGTTTGTTTTGGTTGTTTTTGTTTGGTTGGTTGTTGGTTTTTGGTTTTTTTTAATATACTTTTTCTTCACTCCTCCTAGGTTAGGATGTGTTCCAAGATGTCTAAATGAGGTGTTATAATTAAATATTTTGTTCTCCATAGTCACTCACAGTGACACTCACTTGATAACACAGTTTATCAAGAGTTTCTCTGTCAGTTTTCCATCTCCCTGAGTGGACATATAGTCTTTTACCTCCCAGTCCTGACCCCACTTCTTTACATTAATCTATCTGCAAGTTACAGTTCTAAGTACATTCTCTTGAGGCTGTCTTAGTCTTGCAGAGTTTCAAATACCATAGAAAGAATTTTCAGTTGTCCTAAAATTTGATATGACCAGTAATTTGGATGCCAAAGACAGGAAGAGACCACCCTATTCCTTGCCTTGTAATATCATTTATGTCCCGTGAAATACAGATAAAATACCAGTGGTATCACACATATAAAAAGTGCATTATCATCTTTCTGAAAGCACTGGTATCCTTCTTTCTTTATAGAAGATATCAAATGTATTTAAATTTGTAGGTTTGGTGGGTTTTAAAAACTATTATTCAACTTTTTAAAGATGTTAACAGATAAGGAGATTTCAAAGTTGTTAACTAGATAATTTTTGCCCCCAAGGCATAGTAATTTACTTTTGTTTACTTAAGTTGTTGTTTAAAACATTTCTTTTCATTGTTTATTTTTATTCTTTTCACTGGGCAGCCACACAAACAGCAGCTTCAGCACACAGCACTAGTGAATGGACAGAGAGCATTTTTAAAGAAGACAGGGATGTTCCAGAGCATATTTACAACTAATAGAAAAAATATTTTCTAATTTCAGCAAACACAGTATAGAAAAGTCCCCTACAATTATTTCAGCAGATGTGGCCATGCTTTTAACTAGGCAAAAGTGAAAAATTGTCTTTCTCTGCTCTATCTCACACAACAAAAAATTTTAGAAGGAAGGGCAGGAATAATACACCTTTACTTCTAGGTTAATTTCTTTGATTTCTTAAGTAGAATGGCCACGTTTTACTGATTGTACTGGCAGCGGTGACTGACATTACTGAGTTAGAAATATTTAATAAGAGATAAGAAAATAAGAAATATGATAATATGCATCCAATACAGTACAGGGAATTTATAAAAATAAAGAAGCAGACTTTTATATTAGTATAAGAAGTCATAAAGGCCATATAGCTTTTAAGGAATGAAGAGGGAGGTAAAGAATAAGAAATAATTTAAATACAATATTGTAATTTAACAAACTTCTGCTCTTGAGACACCAGACAAGATGTACACCAAGAAGCCTAATGGTGTTCACCCCAATGATGGAAACATAAAAACACTTTTTTTTTTTCCAGGCCTTTATGTTTTTAGAATATTAATCTCTAGTGTGGTGCCTTTAAGAAGGTCAGTCTCAATACACTCACACTCATTTTTTGTGCTGGATTCATTCAGCCAGAATAGTGTCAGTGATAAAAATATTATATATATTTTAGCCAATGTGAACGTCTGCCATGGGCAACTCACCTTTTAGCAATTACCAGCTAAAGTAGAAGGTTTTAATAATATAGTTAGCAAATGATACAGAACTGCATTCCATAATCACACTGGACAAGTACAATACAGCTAGAACAGGTGTTGGTTTAATTTTCTTCATCTGTACCCTCTAGCAAGTCTAGTTACCTTTTTGCACTCATTTGATGTGGTCATTCAGGGAAATCAGTGCAGATGGTATGTCACTGTGTGTGCGCTTGCCAAAGATTTTTACAACTTGAAGCCACTGTCCCCAGCCAGCATGAAAACTTAGTGTAGATTACAACTAGAGTTTAAAACTATTTGTGAGCATAACCTCAACGCATGCAGAGAAGAAGTGGATAAAATGTAGCTTAACCTAGAAGTAAAGTGAAAAAAATGAAAATACATAGAGGTCTAAGGGGTGCATACCTGAATTTATATAATTTATTAATATTATTTATATTAAGGTTTTACACAGGTATGTTTTTATATTTTTTTATCCCATTCCCAGTCCATATATATTGTTTTGTAACATATCTAGAACATCTATTTCCAATGATTTTTTTGGCCAATATTCTTAAAAAGCAATTAATATCTTCAGTACTGTTCTAGTTCTGAATATATATATATATATATATAAAATACTCCATATTTACTAACACAATAAATATGATTTCTACTAAAAACAAGGTAAAAATCATGAAAGCTGGGGAAAACACATAATGCATGAAACAGATAAATAGAGGATTTTTTTATTGTCATTTCATTTGGAACTTTGATCTGCTGTATTTTGTAAAATATCAGTTTTAATGAATGACTGTTTGTATGATCACTTTCCCTTTAAATTCTGTAATGACTAGGAAAGCATTTTGATTTTTGTTCTGTTCTGTTTGTTTTCACATTCCATTACTCCAACTTCTTTGAATATGAACTGATACAAATGTCTTACAAAAGTGATGGGGACTAACCAATTGCCACTGAAGTAATGGAAGACTAGCTGAATCTTGTAAGAAAATTACAGCTATTTTCCTACTTAAGGTGTTGTTGAAACATGTTTTGCTGAGTTTTTTTTTTTTAGTTTGTTCTGTTACAGTTGTCTCAAAACTAATAATTTTTCATTAAGCTCTTTTAACTATTTTGAGATCATTTTACTTTTTCTGCCTTGAGCTAATGATGAATCATTGTGTATGTACTGTGCACTGTAGGCACTGATTTTTTTTGCATATTTTGATGAGAGATTTTTTCCTGACTATTCAGTAATATTTTATATATGATTTTTATTAATTATACCTATTCATAAAGCTAAACTGATAAACGTAACAGTTAATAAGGAACACTCACCTACTGTCAGTTGTCCAGTTAACTGTCCCATGTGATTTCTTGCATTCACTGTTACATTTCTGTCAGACTGTAAGACCAGTGGGCTATCCTGGGAAACATGTATGAGACAATAAATGAGAGAACAAAAAACTGAGGTAGAATTAAGTTAGAACTTAATATAAACATGCATGCTGAGAGGGGAGCTGTATTAAATATAACAAACCTTTCAATAATTTCATAAAATATTTCACAAGTCAAAATTTTATATAGAAGAATACTAAGAATGCTACTTTATGCTTGAAACTCTTGTGCAGTCCCTGTTCTAGAAATCAGTTGAACTTTATATAATTTGAGTTTTATTTCCTGTCAATATTGCAAAGTTCCAAATTCAAAAACCCTTAACACAAATCTGTTTCACAAGCCTTTTCCGCATATTGACAACCTATACTTTTCTAACTACCAAACCGATACTTTACTGCATTATCCTATTAATCTGCACAATCTATAATATTTGTATTGCACTTACAAAAACCTTATAAACACAGCCATGAATTTCTTTGAAGATAAAAAGAATTGTTACTCAAAAAAAAAAAGAGAGCACTGGAAGGTGAGATCTTGTAAAAAACAATCCTGAGCCCTGCCTCACAGGTACTATTAGGGATCAAATTGATGTAGCATGGAGACAAACACTGTGTGATGTTAAATACAGCCTTAACATTTTCGGAGTCAGTTTTCAGCATGACTACATTGCTCTCAACATCCAACTAGGTTTAAGCTTCTGAGAAAAGTGTACATGTATATGCGTAAGCTTATCCTCTGTCTAAAGCCAGCACAAAGAACAGCATAAAGAATTTAATTTTGCTTCTTGAAGAATGAGGAGCCAGATGCACTCCTCCAGGGGAAGCACAGATGCACAGGAAAGGGGAAGAGCTTCAATGGAGAGTCAGGAGAAATAGCCCCCCCCCCAAAAAAAGAAAGAGCTTACCAATCATGTTCTCACTGGAGCAGGGTGAGTGCATGAGAGGAGGAAAAATTAGAATTGCAGCTGCTGCTGCAGAGAGGCACTTTTCTGTCTTGAATCACCTGATACTACTCTGTTTTTTGCCTGGAGCTTGCAGTGAGATCATGGATACATTAATGCTTCTGGCATTTTGCTAGCACTTATTATGCTTAAGTATGTTTATCCAACAGCCATAAAACATCTGACAGAAACAGCTGGGGAAGTGTCTTAGACAGGAATGGCTAAGGGCTAGGAAAATATTTGGGAAATTCATTATATACTTGTTTCATTCTTAAGATTCTTCCCTGGGCATCCATTATTGGTCATCCTCGATGGAGCATATTAGGTTAGATAGACACCTTGTGTGTGTCACTCACTATATTGGTTCTTGCTGTTCTTGCAAGTTTTTTAGATGAGAAGGAAAGGAGTTAAGGGGCCATAGATTAAGATTTATTTTTACCTGAATGATGCAATAGGTTTTCACGAAAACTTTCTGTACTTCACAGTCCATTCCTTTGAATACAGGACTTCCCTCTGCAAGAAACATTTTTCCTAGTTGTTTTCACTATGATTAACTTTAAATGATAACTGGTTCCCTGGGAAGTCTAAAATTATTCTGAGCTAATTTCTAAGAGCTCAGGTGTGTTTAATATCTCACTGGACCATGCTATGACCTCTCTAGCATCCTGCCAATTAGCTCTGCATCACAGAGTCTGGCAGATGAAAGTGACAGTTTGGCTTGTCCATCTTTCTAGATAAAAAGCTATAATTATCAGTGAGACACTGTGTTCAATTTGACTATTTTGAGCTAAACATGTGATGCAATCAAGAGGGCTTCTGGCAACAAAAGCAGCTGCTAAGGGCCTTTTTCTCAACACTGGGTTTTCACTTTCCTTACAGTTCTTTGAAAATCATTAGTCCAGGCAACTGCTGCTCTGAGAAAGGCAGTTGACTTAATAGGCCTCTGCATTGCCAAAGTATATTTTAAAGGAGCCCTTTTCACTTTAACTTAGTCAGTATTTGGTGAAGAGTCTTCCCAGAATCTCACCTTTACTAAGGGAGGATACTGCCATGCCTATTTTTGCCAGTTCAGCTAAAGGTTTAGGAACTTACACTTCCAAAGACTGTTCACACAACGATCCCAAGGTTTCTTTCCTTTCACCTTAGGAGACTACTTATCAGAATTCTTAGGCTAAAATCTGCCTCTCAGACTCTAATTGTAAGAAAACACCTTTGATATCAAATTCTCAAGTACAGGAAAAGGAAAACTTAGGTGAGCCAAGCCTTCTTTCTTCTTCTTTCCTTGTCTTATATAAAAGATAAAAAGAGGGATGAAGAAGTTAGGAACCTAAATATATACTCCTTAGTTCCTGGATGGAAAATAAAGAGCTGCAAGCTTAAATTCCAGACCAAAGAAAACACAGTGGCAAAATGCTATTAGTTTAAGCAGTCCAGTATTTCATCTATACTGCTTACCTGAAGTTTATTTTACTCAGGAAGTGCCTAAAGACAAAGGTTCATGGTATTCAAAGGTAGTCTACTCAGAAGAACTAGACATTCAGAGAAGACTTTTAGCTGAAATCAGTGAAATTATAGAACTTTAAGATGAGTATAAAGTGCAATGAAGTGTCATTCATACGAATACAAATACATCTAAAGCATTAAATCCTGGATAATTTTCTCTCTAGATTACCAGATCTGTTACTCTTTTGATGTGAACTTCAGCTTGCAATTTAGTAGCCTTGATAATTCACACAATAATTAACATTCAGATGTCAGAAGGGATATAGAAGTATGTGTAAATTTACATACGTACAGATGTAAATGTGGCCTTCAGAAAAGAGGTAGTAAATGATTTGTGATGCCATTTCAAAAATTATACTATAGATAACAAAAAGCAACATAGTAAGAACATTCTTACTGTTACACAGGGCTTTTAATAATATCAATATGCTAATAATTAAAATATTTTAGAGGGATGTCCTCAGGGCCACAAGGGTTCTACCAGCCCTTATTGGCCCTGTCCAACCTCCCTGGGGGGTCCTGTTTCAGTCCAGCCCCATCTGAACCCCTTCTGGCTGGGTTGCCCTACTTGGTTCCAAACATCTCTTCGGGAGCATTCAGCCCTCGTCACTCCCGGACAGATAAGAGGACTTCAAGAACGAGCTGATGTTCATGATACTGTATGAAATGATTCCTGTTATAAGCCCTGAAACATTACATCTTCAAGATTTTCAGCAGTGTATTAAAATTAAACCAGATGAACATGATGTTACCATAGTTACTTCTTATCTGAAATAGATTTGGAGCTGAGGGACATAAAAGGAAAAAAAAACTAGTTAATTTAAGGGATATTTTCAGAAAGCTTTCTCAAATCTGAATCCAGTTACAAGTACAATCAAAATTTTGAGGGAAAAAAAGTTGGTGGTTTGCTTGTTTGTTTGTGGTGGTTTTTCCAAGGTACATTTACAGAAAAAGAAAAAAAAAATCAACATTAGACTTATGGTTTGTTGGGAAACTCACCCTGGCACCATACCAAACCACACAGGTAGTTGTGCATCGCAAGATTTTAACCAAGACACTGAGCATGTTTTCCCACAGCAGCAGAGCACCACAATTTGTCTGCTGCTTTAGGCACCCATACTGTGGGAGCCAGTGAAGAAGCTGATCAGCCTTGTCTGCTCAGTGACCCCAAGTGAAGAACAAAAGGTGTATGAGTTATTTGACCACACCATAGAAACAAAACGAGAACTGAAAGAAACAGGAAGTACTTAGTAGGCTGGTCAGTCCAGCAGCCCAAGGGAATCAAAGACCAGATGACTTAATAAATACACGGACAACTGCAGCTCAGGCAAATAAGGGATAACAAACGTGAGTGCCTTGGATGAATTTAGTGCAGAAAGTTTAGAAGAAGAATATTAAAGACACAGTGTAAGTCAAGAAGGATAGAAAGCATGGTCAAAAAAGGTGTGAGAGGATGGAGAGAGTCTTCCTCAGCTGTTTACCCATTGTCCAGAACTAGAACATCAGCATGTCTCTTAGCAACATTTCTTTCAAATGAGGAGGCAATAATGGAGGTGGAAGATAAAGCTCCAAGGACTAAAAAAACATTTTTATGGCTTGGAGTCTCCAGGACAAACTTTCTGTCATTAACATTATTCTTAGCAGTAACCAAACATGAAGAAATTTGCATTAGGAAGGATTTTAAAGAAACAAACCTACAAATGGAAGCAATTGCTGAGCTCTTGAGTATTTAAAAAGACTGTAGTCTCCATTAAAACTGCTGAAAGTTTATACTAGTTTAGGACTGTCAAAATACAAATTAAAGAAAAAAATTCTCTATCAGGATATTCCCAAAATATTTTTTCCAAGAATATTTCCAAAATTCCTTTTTCTCAATATTTACCAGTGTTCAGTATTTCCAAAAATATTCTCAAGAATCTTCCCAAGGTGTCAGGAGAGCAGGGATTCCAACACAGGGGTATTTAAAATAGGGAGAAGTGAATACACTTTACTGTCCAAGTTATTCCTGGTCAATTCTGAGCTGAGAAGAGTTAATGTAAGTATTGATCTAAATAAATTAGATGCTTTAACCTATTTCCTATATCTCAGCATTCACATAATAAAGTTTCATATCAGATTTTAGTGTTCTTACTGTCTAACTGTCCTTTCTAACCTGATAGTCCCAATTTAGTCAAGTTTTATGAAAAATCAATATTTTTTCACATGACTTTTACACATTGAGGAGGTTTGGAAAAGTATTCAGTTAAACTATTAGGTCAGTGCATTTCACTAGTCCATGGTCAAATTGATTTACATATAATTGCCACCAATTGCAAGGAGAAAAAAATTAACGAATCAAATCTTTTATGTAACACACTGGTAAAATGACCAGCAGATTTGATTTTATTTGATTTGGTAAAAATATGCCAAAAACAGTGAGGTACAAACTCTATTTTCCAAATCAAAGAGGGAAATATACCTCATTTAATTGACTTGCCAAAGAAATGGAAGAAAGGTAAACAAAGCACAAACTAATAGTTTGAAAGAAAAAAAAAAGAAGAAAACACCCTAGTTGTTACTGAAAGAAATATCATATTTGAGGTTAT